TGAATAACATTCAATGAGTGTCCAATAAACAAATGTTCAGAAAGAACACTCTTCAATCTGTATATCCTATTATGACCGTAATTGCCAGTACACCGGCATGTGTAAAATCATATAAGGATCCGCATTCACCAGAAAGCAAGACGGTCAGAACAGCATATAGTGCAGTGTCCACCAATCTCTGCCTTCAATCTTCTCTGATGTTAAATACTTCCAACCTTCACCCTTTTCACCTTACAAGGATCTGCAGTTCCTCAATCGCTCAAAAAACATTGAAAAATTATAGTGTACTACGTTTTTTAAAAACCAGCGCTTTATTGAAAGAATAAAACACTCCCATACAAGAAAAAACTATTTTTGTAACAATGTAAGGGTGCCCGCCTCTCCCGGCTTCAGAGCTCCAAATGGACTCGGCGCGTGGCCACGTACTGTTTGACTAATCTTTGATTTATCAGTACATTGTTCAAAAAGTGCTGTACTATTCCTATATATTCAAAGAAAGACTGTAGCTGTGCTTCAATGCACTTTTTTGAACTGCAAACATGCCTATCATGCAGATTAAATTAAATACAATGGCATTTTTTGGTTCCTGGACACTTTTGGCATCAAATGGTCAGCTCTTGTGCTGCCTTTGACGGGCCGTCCAGTCCTAGGCAAAGTAGCGATCATTGGAATTTTATGTCATTGTAGTATACTTTCCTAACAGTGAACTAATTGCCAGAAGATTTGAAATCAACCATTTTAAATCCCTTGCCAGACTCACAAACACCTGCAACCTTCTTTCTGAGGGCCTAAAAGGTGGCCATACACTTTACAACCCTTGCAAGACTTTTGTCGTGCGAGGGTTGTAAAGTAATTTAAAAAAACGTACGATCTGCCCATCTTGGACAGGCAGATCGTACTTGCGATCATCGCAAGCCCGCCTCCCTGAGGGGTGGGCTCCCGATGACATAACTGCCGAACGGGCCGGTGTGCGCGTGCGCACACTGGCCAGTTCGGCAGTTATCTCTTGATCATGCTAAAAACCAGCCAAAAATCGTACCATTCTCGGCTGGTTTTCCAACATGCTCGAAATACAAAAGTCTTCCATATACTGCACGATTATCGTACGATCGCGGGATTTCCCGCGATTCTTGTACGAGAATCGTGAAAGGTATGGGCACTTTTAGAGAGCTCTTTTAATCTTGAAGCCACGCACATCAACAGCAAATAGAACAAAACAATCCTAGATATTTTAGGTTTAAATAAAAGACAGGTTCCACCTGTATACTCCCCAAGACAATTCTAATCACAGAGACACAGAATAGCCCTGGCGAGATCGCACCCACCCTCACAGCCTTGATGAGATCCAGACCCGCCCACATAGCCATGGGGAAGACCCAGCACAGCCCCGGTGAGACCAGCACCTGCCCGCATAGCTCTGAGGAGACCTGCACTCAGCTGGCACAGCCCTGGTGAGATTGCACCCGCCCACACAGCCTTGGTGAGGCCCAGCACAGCCCAGGTGAGTCCCGGCACAGCCCTGGTGAGACCCCACACAGCCATGGTCAGACCTTGCACATCCTGGTGAGCAACACAGTTTATGTAGCTTCATATTATTCTGCATTGCTTATAATGTATTCCCGGGATTTGTAGTCCCTCTACAGCCTGGAGTCAATGGCAAAACTAGCAATGTTGCAGCGGTTGCACCTGTGACCGGGCCATGGCGCTCCACCTCTGTCCTAAAATCATTAGTCTCTAATGTTTTACAAAACCTGTCACATAACACACACAAAAAAAAAAAAAGTATCGGTAAATGATATGGGCAGGTACTTGAGGAAAAGTATCGGTACTCGGCCTGGAGAAAATGGTATTGATGCATTCCTACGCATAACACTTCAGGTATCCCAAATGTCAATAAAGATGGAACCAGCACCCAACAAGGTTAATCTGTCCACAGTAAATACATTCTGAGCTACACAGACCAAGTCAGCATTTTACACTCCTATTAAAAAAAAAAAAGATTATACTAAACTTCTAAAATATATACACACCATATACACCAATCAGCCATAACTTTTATGACCAGTGAGAGGTGAAGTGTGCAATATTGATTATCTCGTTACATTGGCACCTGGGAGTAGATAAGAGATATTAGACAGCAAGTGAAAATGTTGTCCCTGAAGCTGATGTGCAAGCGTAAGGATTAGAGCGACTGACTCTGGGGAAGAGATGGCACCAAGATGTCAAGATGCTGTATGTGAAGAAGGCAAGTGGGCAGAGGCAGTGGGATACTATGTGCAATGTTCTCCTGGGAAATCTTGGGTCCTGCCATTCATGCGGATGTTACTTTGACACATACCGCCAACCTAAACATTGTTGCTGACCCAAGTACATCCATTCCAGGAAACAGTACTCTCTGATGGCAGAGGCCGCTTCCAACAGGATGATACAGCCACATTGCAAAAATGGTTCAAGAATGATTTAAGGAGCACAACGAGTTTGGGGTGTTGACTTGGCCTACAAATTCCAATTCTCCAGATCTCAATCTAATTGAGCATCTGTGGGATGTGCTTGAAAAACAAGTGTGGTCCATGGAGGCCCCACCTTGCAATTGTCAGCACTTAAGGTATCTGCTACTGAGGGCTTGGTGCCGGATACATTAACATACCTTCAGAGTATGGAGGTATGGAGTATGGTCTAGTGGAGTCCATGCCTCGATGGGTTAGGGCTGCTTTGGCAGCAAAAGGGGGACCTACTCAATATTAGGCAGGTGGTCAAAATGTCCTGACTTCAGTGTATCTTGAAGTACTTACTTACTTAAAAGTATATATTATTTTTCTTTTTTTTAACAAAAGGTCTAGAGGTAGTGCAGGAACATTCTAAGCACAAAGTGTGAATTTCAACATTAAAAAGCTCTAATGCCCTTTTTTACCCAAAGTATTTAGCAGTGATGACACCACTATAGCAGCAAAGCCAAGGCACCTTTAGAACTTCAAGAGGGACTTCACCACCCCCTCTGCAATATTTAACCCCTGTTATCAGTTACGTAGGGTTGTTCTCAATTTACATACTCCCTTGCCCAGCAAATCCAGCACTGTCCTGTTGGAATCCACTGCCAAAGCCCACCATCCTGGTGCTCCTCAGTTATCAGGAGTTGGTTGCCTCTTCCAGGTTTAGGCAACTTGGCCCCAGATGATGAGCATCAGGTATCCCTAAAGGTCGCTTTGTGTCTCTGCTTCTGCAGCCTTCTGGGATAAATGACAGGGATATTCCAGGTGGCTGGAAGGAGCAGGACACATCATTCTTGCCTAGATAAGAATAATGGTGGGGGGGTGGGGTCAGAAAGAAAGATGACCAAAAAAAGGCCTTATTAACTGTACTTAGGGGGGTGGGGAGTTCAGGAAGGCACATTTATTTAGTGGACTAATTTAGGTGCACTTTCAAGTCTCAGGTTCCCTTGAGGCATTTCCCGGTGAAAGTTGGTGCTCCAGATCCCACCCTCTAGCCTGATGCCAGGGACTGGTTACTTGCAAGCCCACTGTGCATTGGTCGGGGGTGTGCATGGCAGGCTAACAACACAAAGGCATTGTTAGTAGCCTGTGGTTGTCATGGGCATGTGTGGAAGGAGATGTGTCTCAGACAGCTTTGCACAGGCTCGAGCCCGTACAAAACAGTGACACACCCCCCTCCCAGTTTAATCGGTTGCGGCGGGGCATTCCCCATCCCCCAGCTACACATAACAAAGGGGTGGGGAATGCCCTGGCCACAGCTGGTTGAGCCAATAGGTGGAATGTCACTGACAATTTAGCAAGGCTTGGGCAAACACAGCTTACTGCAGTTTGATCAGGCCCACTTGTGGTCTGACACTCTCCCCTCCCAGCCCAATCAGTTTTGGCCGTGATGGGGGGCTTTGTGACATGTAGCTTTGTGCTAGGAATGTCCCAGCTGCACTGCAACTTGATTGGGCTGG